GAATATTTTGTGCAGTTTCACATGGCCAACAGGTGCCCAGTCAGTATTTGAACCCAGGTCCTAACCAATTCAGGGACTTTATGAGGCAGTACACCATGCTGTCACGTCCGGAACGGAGTTTCTTAGCCTACAGTCCGAGCGCCCACTGAAATCGGATGCAGAATGCTGTGTGCACTGTTCCGTGGGAAGGGTCCAGAGCTTTTATCACATATCCAAAGGATTAAAACTTCCTAAAACGCACAGCTGGTCCGCACCACTTCACTCTCACCCCCATTTCAGTGTCGATGATGACACATTTCCAGCTGCTGGTTCGCTTCCTGGAGGGGCAGTGATCATTTTACAGGAGTGTCCTCAAGATCTCGGAGAGTTCTAAAGGAAAAGGCTCTCCAGTCATGAAAGTACATTTATTAAGGTATTTTGGGAGCATCTGATATCTTGCTTCCCTGTGGCATGTTGTCAGTCTGGCTCAAATAAACTCAGAGGAGGGAAGGAGGGAGGGGAAAGGAAGAAAAGAGAAAGAGAAAGAGAAAGAGAGAGAGAGAGAGAGAGAGAGAGAGAGAGAGAGAGAGAGAGAGAGAGAGAGAGAGGTAGGTAGGTATAGGTACTCCATCTAAAAAAAGCCTTAGCTCTTTAAGGTGGACTCTTACGTTCTTACGTAGTCAGCCCATTTATATTAGTTAGTGGGACAGCGCCTGTGTAGTGTAGAAATTTAATTTAGAATCAGAAGATTTTCTTACTAAACAGCTGTGTGAAGCTAGAAAACTACTTCTACTCTCTGGGCCTTGACAGTCCCATCTGGGAAACAGACATGGGACCGCCTCCACACAGGGCTGAGTGACGGAGGTGCACATAGAAGCAGCTATTACAACAAATGGCATTTGGTAGATATTCCAGAAATATCACTTGAAAGTATCAGCCCTTCAGTTTAAATTTGGATTTAGTTGACATTAAGACAAAATATGAATTGGCGTTATAATTATTTTCCCCCCACACTTTTCTTTAGCATTGTTTTTCTTTATATGGTAGCATTGTAATTAATATGACTTTTCCTTTATTTCTCCAAATGAGACTATATTGCTTTGGAAAACCAGAGACTTAATGAGTAAGCATATTTTTAAAGAGCAGATTAGGGGAAGGGTCCCCTATACTTTTACATCTTCCACAGAAAGCTATTACTGGTGAAAAAAATCATTTTTCTCAGTTACTTCTATGTCCCTTTACTCAGTGTATTCAGAAATTCTGGAGTTGGTAAAGGAGACAGTGAAGATTATTGAGAGAATCAGAGTTAATGCAAATAGAAAACAGAATACAGTATGTGACTCTACAAACAGTAGGTAAGCAATAAAATGTTAGTTCCTTCTCTTCCAGTCCCCTCAAACCATTCATTTTCTGTAATTGCACAACCAGTTGGCTCTTACTGAGCTGGACCATGAGGGTCTCAATAGGTCTTTTTCCCTTAAAAAAACAAAACAAAACAAAACAAACTCCCTGGCTTCAACCCATTAGCCTCGAGGCTCTCTGGTAGGCCCCGCTGTCAGCTCTAATTCCTAGACCTTGGATTGCGCAATCATTTTATATAAATGACATTTCAAAGGTCTTCGTAAACTCACACTCTGATTTGACGAATTGGTCCATATTTCCCAAATATATCATACATTTCCTCAGCAGTGATTTTGTAAGGCAAATTTCTTATATACAAAATCCGATTTACTTCAGGTGGAAGTCGAATCTAAAATGAGAAATATGTATTGTCATTATAATCAGGAGAAAGTGCTACTATTTAATAAAATTCTCACAATAAACAAGAAATTCTTATAATATAAACAAATAAATAAATAAATAAATGCCCTGGCCCAGTGGCTCCATTGGTTGGAGCATCATCCTGTGCACCAAAAAGGTTGTGGGTTTGATCCCCAGCCAGGGCACATACCTAGGTTGCAGGTTCAACCCCCCAGTCGGGGACCGTATGGGACGCAACCAATCAATGCTTCTCTCTCCCTTCCTCTCTAAAAATCAATAAACATATCCTCAGGTGAGGATTTAGAAAGGAAAAAGCCAAGCATCAGAATCTGATACTACTGAAAATGGCATGCTTTCTAGAAAAGCAATGAAGCATGGTTTTAGGAAAGACTATTAGTAGGAACTAATGAGGGGCTACTACAAAAGCCAGGCTTTCTGTCAATACACTTATTAGTTATTTCTTTATTTTTGATAACCACTAAGGCTGGTTTCTTTCATTCCCCAGGCGAGCAGTTTGCTTATGTACTGCCATCATTACACGAAACAAAATACTTGGCTACCTTCTCATTAATTCAACAAGTATTTACTGAGCACCTTCTCTATGAATGCACCAGGCTAGGTAGTATCGGGGTTACTCGATGAAGGAACAAAGACCAGGTTTCTGCCTTCCCCAAACTTACTAGCTCTCTCCTATCCTATCTTGCTTTCTTCTCCTCCTTCAGTCAAGCACCTGGAAAGAGGAAGTCTACAGTCACTGCCTCCTATTCTTCAGACACTCGCCCACCTACCACAATCCAGCTTCCAACCCAAAACTGGCGGAAGTGCTTTTACACACTAAGACCTTTTACTCGCAGGGTTCAACTCTCATCATACTTGACTTCTCTGAGCCTCTGACACTATTAACTGCGACCCTCTCGATCCTCTTTATTTCCTTGGCTTTCTCCTAATTCCCTGGCTAGTTCTTCCTACTCTTCTTTGGCTTTAAAATATGCTCTTCCAGCACTGGCCAGGTAACTCAGCTGGTTAGAGTGCCATCCAACACACCAAGGTTGCAGGATCGATCCCTGGGCAGGGCACATACAAGGATCAACCACTGAATGCACGGATAAGTGGAACAACAAATCAATGTTTCCCTCTCTCTTTCTAAAATCAACTTTTAAAAAATATGCCCTTCCACATTAGACTTTTTGTCTTGACCCTTTGTATAAACCCCCCTTAAATCTACACTTCTACCCTCTGTCTCCCAACCACAACACAATTTCCGCACTGAATTGACACTCAAATATGTATCTCCCATCCAGATTCTGGGCTCCTTATTAACATGTTCAGTTACATAATAGACATTAATTTGCTCACTGTTAAACTAGCAACTATGCCAGGCATTAAGCTGTGTTGTATAAATGGAAGAATATTGTACTTATTCCTTGCCCCCAAACTAGTAGTGGTGACAAATGGTAAACAAATAAGTATCATCAAGTTTTAGATTTTAAGGTTCAAGGGCACGTTCAAATAGATAATCAACACTGGCTATCCCAGTATACTTCACTGGTACATCTGCTTTCTCACACCGCAAGAACACTCCATCACACTTTCTCTGCTCACACCCCACCACTACCACTCCCTCACATATCCGAGTTGGGCTGTATTCTCTACCCTGCCCATACTACGAGAATGACCTTAGCTCTTGCTTACTGGAAAAAATAAACATGACCAAATGCTAAGGGCCCTATATTCATATTACTGAACCTGCCAATCTGCATTCACCCATACGCACCCACTTTTCCTCTCAGTACCATGCCGACCCCTCATCTACTCCAAACCACTCCTGAACTTAATCCACTTTGCTCCTGCTTCATCAGTTTCACCCACTTACTAGATCATAACCACTGGCATACAAATACACCTTATATCGCACATCTTAAAAAAGAAAAAAGTTATCATCCGATTTCTCTTCTTCCTGTTTACATGAAAACCTGGGCGAAGAATTGTCTCCACTTTTTCAACTTCCCCCGCCTTTCGTCCCACCGCAACTAAGTTCCCTCCACTGAGATGCAAATCATCTAGGTCACCAAAATGCTCCACCTCACCATATCCAATATCCGTCTTCATCTGATACTTCTCTGCATCTCAGAGTTAAACACTCACTTTTAAAATTATTTATTTATTTTTATGGAGAGGGGGAGAGAGGGAAAAAGAGAGAGAAACATCAATGTGTGGTCGCCTCTCACATGCCCCCGCACTGGGGACCTGGCCTGCAACCCAGGCATGTGCCCTGACTGGGAATTGAATCAGCGACCCTGGGGTTCACAGGCGGGTGCTCAATCAATCCACTGAGCCACACCAGCCAGGGCTCACTTTTTTGAGACCTTTTTTTAGGTTTAGGTTTCCATAACGCCCCGCTCTCTAACATAAAAATGTAAGCAGCAGTGCTTTTGTTTATTCGCTGCTGTATCTCCAGTACCTAGACTAGTGCCTGGCACGTAGTAGCTGTTCAATAAATATAACTGATGAATTGTTTCCTATCTCGCAAGTCTGGTACATTTTAGGTGCTCAAAAATACTGTCGAATTAAAACATGAAGGATCCAAAAAGCTCCCTGATGAGGAGACTCCCAGGCTCCACTTGCCTGTTGACCATTAGGTTATTTATTGTGGAATCATCTGCGCTATTGCCGTTTAAGCCGAGAAGATCCTTACGCTTGGTTCTAGGTACACGTGAAGCAACAAAGGCTGCAGTGTTAATACTATCACTAACACCAAGACAAGACGCTGAAGGAACTCTCAAAAAGGCTGGGAGCGGAAAGGTGGCTCAAGAATATCTTTTAAAAAACCGGGCCAAGCTGAAACCCTCTCCAACAGCATAGTACTTCCGGATTTCCTCGCCCGGGGAACGGATCAGGCCCAAGAAGGCTGTGAACCCCGCCGCCGAGAAAGCCCAGTAGCGAAGTCCTTCCCTCATCGGCAGAAGTCTCCAATACTCACGTTCGCTCTTTTAGCCGCTTGCATCGCCATCTTGGCGGGCTGATGAGGTTACCGCAGTAAACACTAGAATTCCCCCTTACTCCTCCGGAGTTCGCTCAGCTTTGAGCCCACTACGACGACGAACGCAGGAAATCAACATCCACACTCTGCCGGAAGCTGTTATAAAACACGCCGGAATACCTCCGGCTCTCGCGGGGACGTGTTGACGCAGCATCCACATCCGAAAAGAGTCCGGGGCAAAACGAGCCCGGGATAGCTATTAGGCCGGAAGGTTGAAAGGCGACGGACCAAGACGCTTCCGGGCAACGGACCGAGAGGGGCGGGGCCTAGGTTTAAGAAAGGAAGGTGTTGCCCTGGCTGGCGTAGCTCAGTGGATTGAGCGGGGGCTGCGAATCAAGTGTCGCAGGTTCGATTCCCAGCCAGGGTATATGCCTGGGTTGCAGGCCATGGCCCCCAGCAACCGCACATTGATGTTTCTCTCTCTTTCCTCTCTCTCTCTCCCTCCCCCCTCCCTCCCTTCCCTCTCTAAAGATAAATAAATCTGAAAAAAAAAGAAAGGAAGGTGTTTCTGCCTGGGCTGCCCTCAGAAGAGGAAGCTGAACAGAGGGGGCGGGACCTGAGGAGAGCGGCTAGAGGTGGGGCTACTCAGGTGAGTTCCGGAAGGGGCGGGGCTTGGCGTGAATCCCTCGGTTGCTGGGCACGCGCGGCGGGTACGCAGAGCACATGGGTGGGCCCGGACCCCTGGTGGTTCGCGAAGGGGCATCTACAGGGTCGTTGTAATTTTGTACAGGGGACCCTGGGGCAGCCCTGAAGATCGAGTGTTGGCTGACCTGGCCTCGCCTGTGATCCCCGCGGCAATGCCCATCCCATCCCGTCTCCCACCTCATCCCCGCCCAGGTAGCCTCAGTCCGTGCACTGGGACCACCCATCGTGAGCCGGCTGCCTTTTGAATACACTCGGTTTATTTCCTTAGAACAGCTTTACACCGATCGATTGACGAGGCCCAGGGAGGCCCAGAGGGTTATATGTGGGCCTGGGGTAGCGGCTGGCCTCTTGTCTGCATACAATGAATTTTCTGCGAGCTTGTTCTGGGAAGGCCCGAGGTACCGTTCCCTGTACTGTGCTCCTTCACTGGGGCAGCTCCAGGACGATTTTGCCCACGTTCTGATTACTCTCCATGTACTTATGGGCCTCTTGGATTTCAGCCACCGGGTAGATTCGGTCCACAACCGGCCGCAGACGCTGGGTACTCTCCGTGGAGAAGTGGGGCACAACTTGTTCTGTAAAAGTCTTCACCAGCATTTGCTTGTACTAAGATAAGGAAAAGGAGACCGTCAGCCGGGTCAGGGGCCTTACCTTGCCACTGCCCGTCGGGCTTAGCCTTTGCGGTCGCTCTGAAATGTGTACCCATCTGAAAAAGCACACAGGGGTACCTGACCCCTTCATCACCAACGTGTATGTGCATGCCCCCAAATGTGTAACTCTGTTCTGTACCAGGTAAAGGCTGAAGCCTGCAGTAAAATATTAGTGTTACTGACAGCCTGAGGAGTTTTTGTTTTTTTTTTTAAATAAAGGGTTCAAGCAGGAGGCAGCCACAGACAGACCTTAGACAGTCTCAGTTCAAAAGGGGTGTTTAAGTCTGCTCTCCCAGTTAGTGTGAAACCTTATGTTGGGAAACATTCCCGAAGCTGACACAGAGAAGATTTCAGTTGCAGGTAGAGGCTCCCTTACCTAAGAGGCTTTCTTAGCCTCCTGAAAAGTCATGCCTTTTAAAACAAGGTCTTGGAACTATTAAAAGTACTTCCTAATATGGTCAATGCTTTGTTCATTCTGTTAGCGAGACTCCCTGGTCTCATGCATGCAGTGTTAGCTGCCCTCCTTCAAAGATGTTGAGGCTTCTATTGACCAATTCTGTGAAACTGGGCTAACTGTTCATCCACAGAGAGGCAGGTTCCTGCTTAGGCTTCCTCACTTAGGATGTGGCATTTCTTCCATTCTTTGGGGTCATGGAAGTGCACCACCCTTCTGGGGAACAGTTTTCTTTCCACTCGTCACTCACCTTCTTGTCCCTAGATCTCAGCAGACTGCTGATCAGACTTCCTCGTTTAAAAAGCAGTTTGGAAAGTAGAGGCCCATTGACTTCGTTTCCTCCCAGCAGACCGTAGAGAACCCAGCGACCGTCAACAGCCAGGCAGTTGACATTTTTCTCCCAGTAGGATCCTCCAATGCAGTCTAGAATAAGGTTGATTCCAGCACCTTCCACATGAAACACAATTTGTGATGCTAGTCAGGCACAGAAAGCTTGGGGCAAAATAAGGTTCCATGGTGTACTGGTGCACATACAGGTATAAGTAAATGCAGGCACCAGTGGTACCTCTGTAGTTTAGAACTAGAAACACTGCATATAGAAACACTGTGAACCTACGTAGGTTAGGTAGCTGAGCTCTGTCATACATACGTGAAATAGTTCATCTTTTATGACCTCTAGCCAAAGCAAGTGGGAAAGGGGGCAACAATATGATCTGGTGCCCACATAACCCCACTGGCTCCTAGGCATGAGTGAGAACAGAACAGAGGAGGTCCACCCCAGGCTACAGGGCAGGCCAGTAGTTCACAGCTAGGTGATGAAGTGTCTGCACTGGGTTGTTTGAATTGTAGCTTTGCTAGCTTTGGTGTCACCTCTCCTTTTGGATTCATGGAAAAGGATGTGCCAAAAATATTCAAATTTGGCTTTGGAATACAGAGGCTTATCCATTTGGGAAGCTACCACCTCAACCCTACCACAACCACCTCCAAACTGGTCTCTACCCCATATCTCCTTTTAACTCACTGTGTGCCAGCTGGTTGGGATTAAGAGGTCCTGGATAATTCTGGGCCAGTTCTTGTATAGCCAGTTTCTAAAATGTGTGTGAATCATGTTACAAGAATACACATGGAAACTGTCTTTGTCCTAAATACTGCCTGCCTATTTCCAGAGGTCAAACACCAGAGTACTAGAACTTGACCAGGGCAGCTGTTGTGCATTTGGCAGAGGCCAGACCGGTCTAGACTCCGGCTACTTAGAGGCTGGTGAGGATTTTATTTAATCATCTCTGAAATTCCTGCTGAGCTGCAGAAATGGTTGTTTACCTTCGGTGAATTTCATTGCTGCTTCAGAGAAATCCTCTTCTTTGTAATTGAATCCAGCAGCTGCTCCGAGTTTTTCTGCCATTTGAATCTTGTCCTGGGAGCCAACTGTGACCAGAGGAACAGCTCCAGCTAACCGGGTGAGTTGGATGGCCGCTGTGCCCACCCCACTTACTCCTGCGTGGATTAGCACAGAGTCTCCGGCCTGAACATTTCCTGTGACAGAAAGTATAGGGAACAACTCTGTTTACTTTGCAACTGCTACACATGGTCCACATGGGCATATTCTATCGTGATCGCCTGGCTCTGGGACCACCAAATGCCACATTTCTTGCTCACTTTAGAGAACATATTGTAGTTCTTTTTTGTCTTATTGCCTCTGGTCAAAGTGGGAAAACATCTTTTAAAAGTCACTAGCAGTCACATCCGTAATCTCTGTGGTACCTATGAAATGACACCGAAACACCCATCTCTGACCTGATTTGAATCTGACCAAATCTGACCAGTCTGTCCCCAAAATGTAATGTGGCCCTTGATGGGCTTTTGCATCAAGTCCACACAGCCTGCAGTTCAGGGCGACCACGATCCAGTCCCAGCCTCCTCGTGAAAACAAGTGATAATTGTCACCTTCACTTCTGAGCGGAGCAGCCAGACCCACCTTTCTCCCTCACAAAGGGAGAAAAACACGCTGCCTTAGACCACCGTGCCTGCCGTCCGTCCGTGACGACTCTGCCCCCCTTCAAGTCCTTCTCTTCCAGAAAGCCTTCTCTGGCCACCTTTGCCCACACCCCCCTGAACTTGACGGTCGTCTAGTTTTTGTGAATGCTTTGTCTTCCCCATGGCTCTGAGCTCCGTCAGGAGTCTTCTTGGGCTCCCGCACATGGTGTCTCAGAGAGCCTCAGTGGGGCTGAGGAGGGATGAGAGTCGACTGAACGGCCCCTCTGCTGTACGGGGGCTCCCGGAGAGAAGCCCAGCCTGACTTCGAGGAGCTGGGATGACTGGGGGCCAGCGGTGTGAAGGTGAGCACAGGCCTTCTGCCCAGTGCTTCCCAGGCTTGCTTTCTCCCTGACAACCATGACTTTCAGCCTCAACTGTCAAGCCATGGCTAACACAGAATGAGGACATGACACTCCTGGGGGTACAGTCGGGGGAGGTGCTGGGTTTAGGTACGGCTCAGTGGCCAGGACACAGCTGCCCTGGATGACTACTGGGTTTTGAGGTGGCCAAGTCAGGAAGGAATTGAGCCGCGTTGTATGGAGTAAGCGTGGGGGTGGGGGTGGGGGAGGCTCCTCACCCACAAGATGTAACAGCTGGAAGGCGGTGAGCCAGGCCTCTGGGATGGCTGCGGCCTGGGCCATGGTCAGTCCTGCTGGGATGGGCATGAGGAACCCCTCAGGGACAGTGGCATATTGAGCCTGAGCCCCACCAGGCAGCAGAGCCATGACTGGGTCCCCGATCTTCCAGTGCCCCTGGCAGCCAGGTCCCAGCTCTGCCACGTGTCCAGATGCCTCGACTCCCAAGATGGTGCTGGCTCCCGGAGGTGGGGCATATTGGCCCTGTCTCTGCAGAGAGAGGGGTGCACTGAGTGATGAGCACGATCAGAAATCTGTGTATCACGGTCCCCGGCCCTCTTCCAATGGCCCCACCCTCTTTTCTCCAACAGAAAATTTAGAATAGTCAGGTGTTTTTTTTAGCACAGGAAAAGAGAGAGGAGAGGTCATTTGTTTCATGCAAATAAGAGACAGTAGATCAGATAACCAGTGGATGCCACAACTAGTAAGGTCTTCAGCTTTTCCCCTCATCTAAATCCTCCTTTGTACAAATGGAGAAACTGAGACCCGGGCAAGGAAATGCCTGGTCCAAGGTTGCAAAGTAAATTAGTAGCAGGACGAGGAACAAAACCATGGACTCCTAAATGGTAGGTCTCGAGTATCAAGTGCTGAGCTCTGTACTTACTCATTGGGATCCTCAGAGGCCTCTGACCAGGGCTGTGGACCAGAGAGGCTGAACGAGGAGTATGCACCAGAGCCATTTGAGGAGCTTTTCCAGAATACACATGCCTGGGTCCTGGTCATGCAAATTTAGAAAGAATGCCCCAGGTGATCCTGGCATGCATTTCTCAGTCACTCCAGCCAGTGCCCATTGGTTCATTTTAGCTCTTCAAATAGCAGGCAGAAGGGGAGTTTGAGTACTGCTCCCTGCCGGCCCTGGGACCCTTAGAGTGGAAAGAGTGCAGACACAGAGGCCTCCCTTTGAATCACAGCCCCCAGGGTTAGCGGTGTGGTGGTCTTGGATGTCTTGCCTAACCCGCTGGACTCTCAGTTTCTCAGTTTCTTTCCCTGTGGACTATGAAAGTGAACAGGGCTGCCTGCAGAGTCAGTGAGACAGAGCGTGGCCTATCCCCGCCCCCTCCAACAAATGCAATCCCCTTTTCTTATCTGGGAGGCCGAGCAGACTGTGGATTGACTCGGGGTGGGTTCTGCTTTGCAAATACTGCGTCCCTGTGTTTTGTGTAAGCAAAGGAGATTAAATGGCTGTAGGGCTCAGAACCCCCAGCACGCACACGGCACACACCTCAGAGGGGTGTTCCCGGCCGTGCCAAAGGTTAGTCCTTATCTGCCGGCATGTTGACTGAAGGCTCTGGGGTCCCGCCCTGGTCCCCAAGTACCTGGAGTATGTCGGCCCGGTTCAGGGCGCTGGCCGCCACCTTCAGGAGCACCTCTCCCTCTCCCGGGCTGGGCTTGGCCACTTCCTTCAGGTAGAGGT